CGACACATCGTCACCTCCCCACAGGTAGTCGTGGCAGTTGAAGTCTCCTACCAGAACCACGTCCACCCTCTCCCCTGTTCCTCCTCGGACATTCGTGATAGCTTGTCTCAGCAGGTCGCACGCCTGCCGCAGCATCTCCGGCCTCTGCACCGGCACGTACACCGACGCCACTATCAGTCTTCGATCCGGAAGCCGGACGATGGCCGCAGTGATATCCGAGGACGCTATCGGCAGCTGCTCTGTCTCTACGTCTCTGTTCACCCAAAGCAAACTCCTGATTCCCCATCTTCCTTCGTCCCTCCACTCCGTTGGTACCATCCTCGTCCACCTGCTATTGCCCATCGGAACCGTAATGACCTTACCTTCTATCCTCCGCGCCCATGGCTCCTGCACCGCTATGGCCGTGAAGTCGCGCAACGCCTCATCATTCATCAGACTTTCGTGCACTGCAGCCTGTTTCCTCACGTTGAGCTGAAGGATCTGGACCTTCCTACTCATGGGAACGCGGATACAGCTTCGGACAGTTCTTGCTGAACGACTCGTGCGGTCCGCCACAGGGCACACATGTCACGATCGTCTCACGGCATTCAGAGTGGTGGTGGCCTACCTTGGCGCATCGTCCACACACCCGGGGGTTTACGCACTGGTACGCCTTGTGCTTCGTGATCTGCTGGCAGTTGTAGCACTGCTGGGGGCGCGGCCGCCGTTCAAACGCCATCGTCGTGCCGGACTCTCCTCCAACGTGGAAGAAGCCCTCGGAGATCAGTCTACGCGCATCACCGGCCTTGGTCACGAACACGACCATGGACCCATACGCCTTGGGTATCTCTTTCTTGCTAAGCCAAGAAATCTTGGCAACCGTGGTCTCGTTTTCTCGGCTAAGTGCCTCCGCCGCTTCAGCCCTGACATTGCCCTTCTCATCCAGTACCTCAATTCGCTTCACGTTGTCGATCTTCACGGGATAGAGTTCGTCTCGTAGCACGCGTGCTCCACGGCCGAAGCTCTTCTCCGCGATCTGCTTGACATACCTATGCTCCGCATCGTCGCGACAAATGATCCGGATCCTATCCGCGTTCCTTGGGTCTACCGTGACGGCCAGACACCGCCAGCTACCCTGTCCGTCCAACGCGCGCATCTCCTTTTCCACCGCAGCCCGGATCCGGCCTGGGTTGAGCTTGTCGCTGCCTTCTTCAACTCTTGATGTATCGATCGTACAGAAGGGGTCGCTGCGGCTCGGCAGCGTCGCGTTGCCCGCCGTGGCTACCCGCGAGTCGCGACCTTGCCCACCTAAGCCGCTTCGCGCGACGTCCGCGTAGGACACACTTGGGCTGTTCCGCGTCGCAGCAACTGTTGCGAGTGCTTCGAGGTTTTCGTTCGTCTTGGCGCTTTCGTCCTCCACGCGTTCTTTCATCGCTTGCAGCTCTCCTTTGACGGCCTGTAGCTCGCTCTTGACTGTTTGCAGCTCCGAAGTGACCACGCGAAGCTCTGCCTCAACGTTTTTATTCCGTGCTTCCGACTTCTTCCACGCATCGAACATGATCTTGACCGCTGTGTGTAGCTCTTTGACCTGCTTGCCCATCGTCAGGAGCAGCCCTTTGTCGTCATCCTCTATGGGTTTCGCGCGTTCCTTGGCCAGGGTTGTGGCTCGCTTGGTCGTCGTCCGCCGGCCACCACCAGCAACCTCCGTCGCTCCGTCGGTCGCATTGTCGATTATCTCTTGATGAGTCTGGTTCAGTTGGGCTTTCGCGGATGGCTTTCGCACCCTTCGTGATGGCAGGTCCTCGTCGCTCGCTGCCACCGCCTCCCTCGCAACGGTGATGGACGTCGAATCTGGCTCGAGATCCATCGCGTCGGGACGTGCGCAGAGACGCCACGCGGTAGATCGTGCTAGTGCCACGTAGCGCGTTTCGGAGCTTCTCGACAGCGCTCAACCCAACAACGTCGAATGATTCTTCACACAATCAAATATCGAAAATTCCCCAATCCTCTGATCAATACTACAGTAGAAGTCGAATTTGGTTTCCGTCTTTCTTTGTCGTTGAACAGAAACGCTGGTTCGGCGTGGTACAAGAGCCGCAACGATCAGCTTTGATGAATCGCGCCGAAAGGGAAGGCGTGGTTTGCGCTCGCATCGTGATTGGCCGAAGCTCCGAAATCGAGTGTGTCATCCACTGCACACCACTTCCCCCCGGAGCTAATCCAACCCCGGTCGCCATCATCGATCTCCCCCATCAATGCCACTCCCACTTCATCCTCATTCCAACTACCATCGTCGTACACGTACCTATGATCTACCTACCTTAGACCTCTGCGCGTTGTTAGATTCGCTCGCCAGCCGAAACCCTTAGAACAGCCCCTAAACCTGCGATAGACGCCTCACTGCACCAAAGCCCTGTCTAGGTACTCCCCGGCCACCTAGACTCTCTGTTATCTGCAGCACCCACCCCGCGATCGCCGCCCTTATCGCCCCCTTATCGGCAGCCCTGAACCCTACATCCCGTCACCTCTCCTCGCCGTGTTTCGTTCCCAGCATCCATACGTTCATCCATCTATCCAATTCCCGATCCAACCGTTGCCGCCGAAAGCCATCCTTCCACGCGATTACCACTCCGACCGCCCAACATGGCAATCTTCAGCGCCGTCCCTCCCCCCGAGGCCATCGACCACCAGATCCCCAACACCGTCTCCTCGCCGCCGCCCCAGTCCCAGACTCCGGTCGCCGCCCACGTCGCAGCCCAGAGCGCGACCGCCGGCTCTGTCGATATCGAGGCCTGGACTGTCTCCGCCCTCGAGTCCCTGAGCGTTAGTCCCATTGCCCGCGGCACAGGAACGCCGCTGGCTATCAACCTCGATGAACAGGTCAAGAAGGCCTCTGCTGCCGCCGTCACGATTGCCACCGAGAAGACAACGACGACGACTGTACAACAGACGCCTATCCGGCGACCATTGAGCAGGCGGGATAGTCAGAAGAAAAGGGAACAGCTTCTGAAGGGGAATGAGGGGAGCCGGGCGCGTCGGCGATGGGAGAATGGTAGGCCTTCCCTTCTCTTGAGCACAAGAGTCTTTGCAATGATGAACACATCACCGTGGTATTCCTTTGTCTTTCAACAGCTAACCACATTGTTCCCCTCTCACAGATCGCCTCATCGGCGTACCAAACGCTCAACCGCCACTCCCAAGCGACTGGGAAGTCCATCCAACATACCCCGTCCAAGTAGTCCCCTACCAAGTCGCCCAATACTGGGATACCGGTCTTCGCCAGCGCATCGAAGAAAAGACCGCCAAGCTCCAGGCTCAGCGCAAGAAGCAGCAACGCAAAGACGGGTCCGCGACAGGCTTGTCCGTCGGCGAGGTGCCGCGCGACCTGCGTGACACCGCAAAGAGGACGCCCGCCGTTCGCGGGTGGGTGCGCGTGCTCGAAGAACCCGTACGGAGTTTCTTGAAGGAGCGGAGCGAGGCTAGTGATGCGGAGGGGGATAGCGAGGACGAGGAGATCGTGTTTGTCGGTAGGAAGGGGATGGCTTCTGCGGGCAAGGGGTGGAAGAAGGCTAGGCGGGAAGTGGGGAGTGAGAAGGTTGATGACGGGATGGTATTTGACTCATTGGGAGATGACGAGAGTGCTTCTTTCAAGTATGGCCCTTCTGCCCTTCTCTTTACGATGTTTATTGACCTTGGTGTTTTACAGGCGATGGTTGACGCATTCCATCTCGGATTACTACGGTCTGCAATCCCACTCCGTCACTACAGGCGAGCCTGCCCGCCGGGTGGTGTACGTGACGGTACGGGAGCAAGGCAAGCGGTCCAGTCCGAAGAAGCATACAGTCTTACCTCGTCCTCTGTGGGAGATGTGCTGAGCATTTTGCTGCCTGTCACAGCATCGCTCTTTTTGTTGCAAACCGGACCATTCCTACGCACTCTTGTAGACTTCTTTTGTGAGTAGATGTTGTTTGGAGGAGGAAGGGATCTGTTGGTTAGATACGTTTGAGACGCTTAAATCATAGAGCATGCTCACGCATGTGGCATTGGGAGCAGACAAACTGCGGTGATTTCTGGAGCGAGATCTCGGATGGAGACTTGCCGGGTATTCAAACCTTGGATGCCAGTTACCTAGCTTTGGTTGGCGAGGGCGACTAACAAGCTCGCGGTTTGATTGCAGATACTTAAATGTGAGCTGAAACGTGATCGAACATCTTTCAACGCACAATGTACCCATAGCGGATTATTCGGTAACCAAGTCGCATAATCCGGTACGAATATTGCCCGAGGCAGTGAGGTCTAAACCCGCACGAGGTGATCCCTAATGCTCGAGGGACTACAACACGAAACGCCCAATTGAACAGCCCGGCTTCACAGACTTCCTTCCGGCTGCAGAATATTTAGTCACGAATATGACGAGGCCGGAGGTGTCAAATACAAAATGGGAGCGCGTGATGGACTTGAGGATTAAGCATTGCCCCATGGGCTTGCTTCAAACACGATGTTCCAGGTACTTCCTTCACTCCATCGGAGCCGGCTTGGCATTTTTATATTGTTGGCAGCCCACTGGGCCACCATGCACACACTGCGACAAACAAACAACTCCATTATAGGCGCTAGCTTGGCATATTCATGTCGTTGAATATTCGATGGTCACGGGGACGTCGGAGAACCCTGCGGTGCAACATGCACGAGAGACAAGATGGGTGGGTCAAGGTTCGCCCGTATTGCTCGCTTTCGTTTTGGTCGTTTTCGGGATGACTTTTTCGTGCTTTGGAGGTTACTCCAGGGCAGAGTCATTTTGCGCCTGCTTCACGTGCTTGGTGATGGGAGAGTACCTCTACCTAGGTACAAGGTAGATATAGCCTTATCATTGACAAACACGCCGATGATTAGGTCATTGTGGAAACAATACGCCAACGGGATGTATTTCAGACTAGAGAAGGGGAAAAAGAAGAATAGTATTTGCAAGGTCTCCCCGTTATTAAAATAAGTACTGCTACAACCGACGAGGCCGAGCCTAAACAAAATGAAGAGCGGTCTAATTGGGGGCAGTCAATCGTCCGTGGCATTGTAGTTCTTGTGCGGGTCACCAATGCCGCCTGGACGCAGCAGAGGTCTCGTCTCTCGCTCCACCTGCCGTTCCTCTCTGTCTTGTAACCGCTCCAACTCCTCCTCCGTGTCGGCGTACCGTTCGGGATGGGCGGTGTAAGGGCCAGGAAGACCTTGCTCCCAACCTTCCGAGTATGTTCTGGTCGGGTTGGGACGTCTTGGCTCGTCGACGAGGGTTGGAGACTGCGGCTCTCCGTGGTGCTCCTGGAATTCGTAGTAGATGGCCATGGCGAGAAGAACGCCTTGTATCGAGGCCGTGAGGACGAAAACGCCCCACGTGCTCCATCCTTCCCAGCCGAGGCGGGCAAATAGGCTTCCGGCGAAGAGGAAGCCGCCGGGGGTCTGGATACACATCATGGGGATGCTCAAGCTGCCGACGTGCTTGATGTGGTAGGTTGTCCAGATCTGTGGAATGTACTGAACCGCGGCAAGAGCGGCGGCCATGACGCCGAGGAAATTTGCCCACAAGTCGAGGTGGTCTCTGAGCGCGGTAGTGAAGACCACAGTCAGGATGATGACAAGCAGGCCGTGGATCAAGCTCACGGAGCCGACCATTATGGCAGTGTGCCACGAGGGTGGCTTGTCGACCAGCTCCTCATCGGGAACAGTCGCGTTGTCGTACCGGAAGAAGATGAGGAATAGGACAAGGCTGTCAGAGGCATCAATTAGTATGTGTATGCCTTTGGCGAACAAACATGGGAGAGGAAAACTCACATCAGCGCAAATGAGATCCATTGCATGCCCAGCTGGGCGATTCCAAGTAGACCAGCAGCACACTCAAATGTGCCCAATTCGCTACAGCAGGCAATGTCGCGTCTCGAAGGCGGAACGGTCAGAATGTTGGCGAAGCCGGCAGTGGCGGAGGTGACGCCTAGCAAGACAAACCATGGCGAGATGCCTTCCGAGGTTCCTCTGGCGATAATTCGGTAGTGCTGCGGCAGGTAAGAGACGATGAGACCGATGAGGATAATACTGGGCGGAAGGAATTAGCTATTGCTCGGCATAATAGGATACCACCCGTAGCGCCTGACTCACATGGAAATCGTCAAGTTGAGAAAGCCAGGAGCGCGAAGCTCGGCACAGCGGTCGTCAAAGATTGTCACAACCATGCTTGGAAGAAGGACCGTCGGGAGTATGGCAGTATGCAGGCGTTGGTCTCGGAAGTGGGTTGCAATGGACAGCCTCGGCTGTCTTGGTGGGCAGTGACACCAGCTCTTTCTCGAGTATCACCACAGGCGGGTTGTCCGTCGCGTCGCAGAGGTAGGATGACGGGGTCCCGGAGACCCAAAGCAAAGCGGCAAGATGGAAGAGGAAGCAGCAGCTAGGCGAGCATTGCGTAATCGTCGGAAGGGCAGGAATAAGTAGTCGCGGGACTTTGGATTCGCCTTGGCTTCGCTCCCGTCGGTGGTTCGGTGATTTGGGTGGGGATGAAGCTGAAGTGGAGGAGCAGTCGTCGAGAGATAGAGAAGACAGAGACGGGACGATTGAGTCGGCAACAGCGAAGATGGGCGCGAGAGAGTCCGGCCCACGGCGACTTGGCTGCAAGTTGCGGTTGTAGTGTATGGAGGACTGAAGGTGGCCTGCCTGGCTCAGATCGATGTGTAGGTAATACGGAGGAAACTGCAGAGATGATGAGTCGACCCGACCAGCCATGGGTCGAGAGAATGTCTCCAAGGTCTCACCTGCTGAGATCCACAGTATCTGGGCACCGAAGGGAAGGCAGACGGGCACTTTAGTGTTGGAGGGTGAATCGAGCTGTCGAGTCGGTCTACTGGATATGGTGCTTTGGAGGAATAAAGTCCGGCACCAGCGGGGTTGGAGATTGGGTGTCAGAGTCGAAGGATAGCCACACGGGTGACCTATCTTGCCTAGGTAGGTACGGGCTGAGGACGGGAGAGGCACAGAGCACGGGGAAAAAGCGATATGGGCGGGACGGCGCAGTGCAGTGCAACCTGCAAAATTCATGTCACAGGCTCACAGCGGGCAGGCCAAAGCAGTGGAGTGTGAGCAGGTACCTGTTCGTAGGTACCTTCCGCTGGTAGGGTCACTGGAGTGTCAGCTCGGTGCGGCGTTGCAGGCGGCAAGTCCCTCCCCAATCAGCGCTAGGACCAGGAACATGCATCGCTAGCTTCTCCCATGACGTCGCTGTCTCAGTGACCTCCACTACTTCGTTGTGCACCTGCCTGCAGTGCTGTCGGCGCCGTACATACGTACCTGGATCTTGCCTGGCTGAAACGCAAGAGCGCTCAGTTGCTTACCTAACATCATGGAAGGAAGGCACTCGCGAGTCGCAGTATCTTTTGGGCTTTGCAACAAAAAACCTGCCAAGTACCGTGCCGTACTTGCCTAGGTAAGCACGTGAGGCACCTCACCTTACCTTACCTTACTTTGGTGCTCGAGGTCGGAAGCCGTTTGAGTTCTGGGGCTCTACTGCCGATCAACGTGCCTGCCCTCTCCAACTTTGTAAGGTACTCGTGCCCAGCAAGGTACTGCCTTCCTCACCGACAGCGGAAACGGACCACATGATGACCCGACCTTCCCCTGCACACTCACTTGGTCGGTGAAGAAGGTGGTGAGCCAGTTTAGGCCAGTGGTGAAGGCAAAAACCAGGGCTTCTCACCGAACCTGTCTCCACATTTGTCAGTGCCAGGGTCACAACTGAAAGTGCAGAAATGCAGACACAACGCTCCAATCTTCCTCTTGCCAATTGCTCGACTCAGACTTGACCTTAATTTCAAGGCAAAGACGATGCATCAATCACATCACCACTGACACTTGCACACCGCGCCAGCACGAGTCGGGGAGCACCCCATCCCTCCCTCCACATTCCCTTGACTCCTTCTCAATGGCAAATACCTGCACATTGCACCCCCGTTTAGCTTCCTGGGCGATATCACTGCGATCTTCACGCCTGCAGAATCTTGATTCTGCAACGCCCTGCGCGATCCAGCCTCACTTTCCATCGCCAATCACACCCACCACTGAGTAATGCTAGTGCATCTTCATTATCGCCTGCCTGCCCTCCAACCGTAACCAACGATGCATCCCGCGGCGGAAAACAAGGATGCAGACCCCATGCAGCAACACTCCGACCCAGCAAACTCGGCCAAGGACCCCTCCCATCTTTCCGCCCCCTCCATGGACCTCGTAGCTTCCTCCGAGATAGCCGCTAGAGATTCCGATCCACCAGGAAACCACAAGAGCTTCTTTCGCGGGGTCCAATGGACTCCTGACGGCACAACACTCATCGCTACAACGTCCGACAACCGGCTGTCGGCCTACGTACTGCCGGCAGATCTCCTCGACCCCAACGGCCGGCCCCGGACGTTGACGCTGCAGGGCCAACTGCGTCTACCGGAACCCTTCTACTCGGCAGCTGTGTCACCCTACTTCTCTTTAGCCGACCCGCAAACCCAGCTTGCACTTCTCGCCTGCAAAGATCACCCTATCCAGCTCTACCACGTCTTTGCAGACTCTCAGTCTTCGCCTCCGCTATGCTCCTACAAGCTTATCCGACGAGAGACAGAAGAGTACATCTGCCCCGAGTCCCTCTTGTGGTCCTGGCCTGGGACCCATTTCCTAGCCGGCTCGACAAATCGCCTCGACCACTTTGACGTATCACGGACTGGCTCTGATGGTCCCATCTTGACCATCCCTACCATCCCTTCCAAGCGGCATCTCCTCAAAGGTGGCGGCGTTGGCATGAAGGGAATGGTCTCTGCGCTGTCAAGCCAATACCCGGACGAGTCTGGCGCTTGCATCGTCGCCGCCGGCACCTGGTCCCGTTGGATGGGTCTCTACGACGTGACTCGGACAAACAAGGCCGTTGCGAACTGGAGCATCCAAGGCGTTGACAAGTCTCACTTCGGCCGAAATATCGGGGGAAACGGCATTGTTCAAACCATATGGAGCCCATGTGGACGCTATCTGGCCATCAATGAGCGACAGGCAAACGGCATTCTCGTCTACGATGTGCGTGGAACAGGCCAGCCTCTGAGCGTCCTGGTGGGCCGAACCACCAACAGCCAACAAAGGCTGGCCTGCGACGTCTTCCCCAGTACTGGTGAATCGTCCGGTGGTTTCGAGCTATGGGCGGGAACAGAGACTGGCCAAGTTCTCGTCTATGAAGCCGTTGGCTGCACAGAGGGCGTTCATGACAAGTCATGGGACTGGGCTGCTCATCAATCACCCGTCGGGAGCTCAGGGGTCCACCCCACAGGATCGGTAATCGCCACCTGCTCTGGCGGCTGGACTAGCCACGGGGATGAGGAATTGGACAATGGCCTGGGTGTCGCGGGCAACGACGGTCAGCCTCGCCTGGCATCAGCATGCATCAGCTCCGAATCATCACTCAAAATCTGGACCTTGGCGCAAGGTCCAATCAGTCATCCGGCCGATGGCTCCGAGGAATCGTGAGCAACACGATTTTGAAGGCTCTTTGGTCTGTGACAGGCGAAGCGCCTCGTAGAGACGCCTGGTATCATCGATGCCCTAACGGCATTTTGAATAGCGAGTCCATTGATGACTCTGCAGAGCATCATCCTACTGCAGGGCTTGAAACGCTGCGTGCAAGTGAGTCGCCCTAGACGTATTTCACGACAAAGATTTTGCTCTGTCTTGAGAACATGATGGCGGTTCTGGTCTGACAACACTAGTTTGGAGGTGCTGATCTTGCGACGACTCCGGCTACCGTGATACGGCCCTAATTCCTCCGTTGTAACGGCGAGATCGATGGCCTGGCGTGTATCTGAATCTGGCCGAGGTCTCAGCATGTAAGCTTAACGACAACAGGATTTCGGATGACTGAAGCCAAGATCTACGAATAGCCAAAGAGCGCATCCCTTTGCATGGCATGCTGCAGATTTTGACGCGGCCTTAAATCACCGAAGAGAAATCAAGACACCCATTTCATATCGGTATCCACGTCGCCCTGTGCAGATTCGGCTCCCGCCGACGATCAATAAGAGCGCCGAGTCCCAGAATCATCCGAGCTATTGTGCCCTCCAGACTGTTCAGCCACACGGATCAAGAATTGCCCGGCGAATCAGATGGAACTCGGCAAGTGGAGTGAGGACGCGGAAACTGGCCCAGGCCGTGTTGTGGGAGGGACCGAGAGGTCAGCCGCAGGTGGTGGAAGCAAATGTCGACTGCAGAGGCTGAGAGAGCAGCTTGTGCCTCGCATACCCGAGCTCATGTCAGCGGATATCAAGACCATACGGATGGAGGGACCGAAGTATAGGCTTCACATGCCATCGTATTCTTGTACATGCAAAGTCTCTTCGGCCGAACGGGTGATATCAGCGCATTAAACTCAGCAGTGTCGTCATCGCCGACCTAGCCGGCCGATTCAGAGACTGAGTAAACAACATTTCAGCTGAGTTCTGCAAGCCACCATCACTATGTCGCCATTCTCCCCATGGGTATAGGAAAGCCTCATCAGTTGCTCGCTGGTTCCGTCACACGGACCGCCGGCGAGGCCTTCAAACACAACTTTCTCTGCCTGACTTGAACGGCGCCACGACCAAGCGTTCTCGCCATTAGACTATTCCCCGTTCTGGACAGACACTGTCGTTCCTGACTAGCATGCCCCACGTTGCAGCCTTAGCCCGACAACGACCAAAATCTTCAGACGAGCGACTGGCTCCCGCTGTTCATGTCCTCTTTGGTTGGAATCGCGAGGCTCCCCGCTGACTTTTCGCATCGACCGCCTATCAATGGCCGTGCAGACTTTCCTGCCCCTGACTACATTGTGCTGCGAGGAGAAGCAACGGTCGCATTCCGATCGGCATCAGATCCCACAAAAGAAGGTCGTGGTCTATCTGCTCGTAGCGGGGCATTGAACGAAACGACCCCGCCGATTGACTGGACACAACCAGCATCGATGGTATCTACAGCGCGTATGCTCTTCATGGCATCGACAGGGATAATCTTGGCGATTTTTCGGAACCGCTATTCAACTTCGATGCCTAGAGCTGACGACGGTACCGGCCGCAAGCAAAACGTTGAACGAGAAGATTGCTTGGATCGCCGCTGCCGCGGGGCCTGTCTCAGAGACATGTAACATGGACGGACTTGAACGACCAAGTGCGCAGCTGCTCCATCTGCATCTCCTCATGTCAGGAATCAGACTTGGGATTTCGCTGTCCTAGCGGCCGGCTGTCCATGAGCCGGAAGTCAAAGAAGCTTTTTAGAACATTTCGTAACGCACTCCGACTAAGATGTCTGCCATAAATATAATTAACAATGGCAATCGCTTTCGATACGGTATCTCGAGCCAGCACTGCATCTCTCGCTTTCAGCTCTACCACCTTTCGCTTCGACTTGCAGCCATCCTGACCTTCGGGCGGTGTTCGATTCGTTCCAGTCGTTTATATCCCTTATTCTTTGTTTGTTGTCGCTAGTGTTGGGTCGTGACAATCATGAAGACTACGTCTCTCATCACTGCCGCTCTAGCCGGTGTTGTGATTGCTCGCCCCGGTATGGACATCAATAAGATGATGGCCGATGCCAAGCTCGAGGCTCGCCAAGCGGACGGTGGCGGTCCTTCGACAGAGCTTATTGGCGATCTTGCCACGCTTCGGGGCCGCGAACTCACTGCGACCGGCCAGGCAATCAAAGATATCTTGACTGCCGAGGCTCCAGGGCAGGACCTGAAAAGCTTTTACGATGACTCCGATCTTCCGCCCAAGAACTCGGCGGAGTGCAGAGAGGACGATTGTTGCATCTGGAAGTACATTGCCGACGATATGGCCGCACAAATGGTGGGCAATGCCGGCCGTTGCAACAATGTCGCGCGTGGTGCTATTCGCCTTGGTTTCCATGACGCGGCATCTTGGTCCAAATCCACCGGCGGCACTGGCGCCGATGGCTCCATCATTCTTGCCAACGAGTGCAAGACGCGTTCTGACAACAAAGGCCTCGAGGAGATCTGCGATATCATGGAGGGCTGGTTTGCCAAGTACAAAAGGTACAAGATCTCCATGGCCGATTTAATCCAGACTGCGTCCAACGTTGCCACCGTCTCCTGCCCCTTGGGACCCCGAGTCCGCACCTTCATTGGTCGCAAAGACTCGACGACGCCGTCGGTGAAGAAGCTCTTGCCGGATCCATCCGACAGCTCAGCCAAACTGTTCAAGCTCTTTGCAGACAAATCCTTCACGCCAGCGGGCCTCGTCGCTCTGATGGGCGCGCACAGTACGAGCCAGCAACGCTTCGTTGATCCCTCGCGCGCCGACTCGCCTCAAGACAGTACGCCAGGAACGTGGGATATCGCCTACTACCAGCAGACGCTCAACCCCAATGCTCCTCCTGCCGTCTTCAAGTTCCAGAGCGACATCAACGTTTCCCAGGATCCTCGCACCAATGGGGTCTGGAAGGCATTCGCAGCGGGGCCGCGCGGTCAGTTCATGTGGAACGAGGTAAGACTTTTCCTGACGGCGTCACACGTTCGTCCCATCTGAATAGACTTCCCGAGACTAACAACCTAAACCTTAGGCGTATGCGACAGAGTACGTCCGCATGTCTCTGCTCGGTGTCAACAACATCAACGACTTGACCGAATGCACCAAGGCCCTACCGCCTTTCCGCCCGGGCTTCCAGCAGCCTGATGAAGATCTGCTGACAAAGGTCATGGGGAGCGTCATCAACTCTGAAGCCATCAAGCAGGCCCTCGAAAAGGGTGACAAGATTCCTCCTAATGCCATATAGACTGCGAGGGATTGGTGCGACTTTTCCTTGCAGCGTATATACTGTCTTAATCCGTTTTCCTTTCTTCGTACCACCTATTTGTACCATATCATTACCTGTAAAATAGGGCCAAGGCGTTTTCGGTGTTGCATGCATAGACCACCAAAAAAGAGTCACGACTTACATGGGCCGAGGCTGGCCTCAACATGGCGTGGACCAAGATTGTTGGAACAGGAGGCGAACTTCAGGAAGCATATTCTTTCCTGTTCCTGCTTGTAATCTCAACATTCTCTTCAACTGTGTTTCATCAGATCTCAGAATAAACAGCGCTAGAATTGCAGCAGAGTTGCTCAGAACATGTCTTGGCCCTTGGTCTCCTCGGCATCACAAGAACCTGCAAGGCCACCTGCAAAGAACAGGTATAATAGGTGTGTGCCTGACACGGTTCTTTCTCTAGGCAACTGAACAGCGCCGTCTCGGCAGACCGAAGATGAGACGTTTTTGTCCCATTCAGATCGCCTGGTGGTCCCAACCCGCGCGCAAAACCTTCGCCCGAGCCAATCGATCCTCGTCTGCAGCGAAGCTTAATCGCACGCATCACGCGTGGGTTCGACGCAAGATACGTATAGTTCCACCTGCAGACATACACCTATACCTTATTCCACAACACTCATCAATCCATCCGAACTCTGTGCAGATGGGTTCGCCAGCTTCCGAACGCCTTCCACTCGCAGCCAGCCCTTCCAGCTTTTCAGCCCAGACGCGCACTGACTCTGTCCATCAGACTCCCACCACCAAAAAAGCCCTTGAGCGCCTTCGCTCTCTCCGAGGGGCTCATTTTCAGGAACCGCACGAGCGTCCGGTCTTGAGCATTGTTGCCGTTGCTGTCGCCGTCGACGTTGACGACTGGAGAACCCCTCTTGACGGCTGCGAGAGCGACCTGAGCCGCGTACATGTTGAAGCCGGCGCGTCGGAGAAAGACTTCCCATTCCGTCTCTTCCGACATGATGGCTTGCTGCACCTCGTGGGATGCTTTTTTGAGGTGCGTCGAGACGAGGGCGCACGTCCAGTGGGCTAGTGTCTTTTGGCCGCCGGCCACGTAGACTACGTCGATGGTGCAGCCGCTGCTGTTGCTGAGAGAGCATGCGAAAGCGACGAAGGAGGCGTACGATGCGGCGTCGGCTTCGCTGAGCGGCCCGATGTGTTCTGCGATGGGGTTGTCTTCTGAGACGAGGATACTAAGGTGTTCGTAGAGCGGTGCGACTCTTGTCACGCGGTCGCAGAGTTGGGAGAGCTGCGGGCGGGATCCTGGGAGGGGCTTCTGTCGAACTTTGAGTATTGTTGTGGTGATGACGCCTGTTGTTGGGGAAGGGATGATGTCGGCTTCATAGGATAGCGGGGATGGCTTTTCTATGGTCTTGACGCTTCCGGGGGACCAGACGCGTTTGTTGTGTCGTGAGAAGTCACGGTCTACGAGATCGATGCCTGGTAGCTTGGCTTGAAGGGCCAGCATGATTGCCCGCGGGAGGGCGGTGGATATTATGATGCGCGAGTGGCCGTTTGTGTGCTTAATGGTTGGGACTGGAACATCGACGGGGGCCTTCTGTGATCTCTGTTTTGATGATACCTGTCCGAAGACCGGCGCTGGAGTTTGAGCGACCTTGCGCTTCGTAATTGGGAATAACGGCTCGAATGGGTTTGCGACTCGTTTCGCACCTCGAAGATCCATGTAGTTCGCGAGAAGCTTTCCCGCGGCATTGTTCTCATTTTCGCCGAGGAGCAAGCCTTGTCCCAAAGACGTTATCGGTTTTGACTGTGTAGTTGTGGTTGTCCGACGGTGCTTAACGCCCACAGTCGGCGACTCCTGATCTGCGTGATCATCTTTGGCAGCTTGTTCCTGTTTGCGTTTTCGAATAAGTTGCATGAGGTCTTCCCTTGAGGAAGGTGAGCTACTGTGAGCTTGGTCATCGTCATCAGGCATCGGGATCTCTTCGTCGTCATCGTCGGGAAGTATCGCCTTGAGTGTATGTATTTGCCGTACGTAATCAGCGCTCGTCGGTAGTGTCGTAGATCGTCGCCCATCAAGTAGATGTTGCAACACTTTGCCATCTCCCACGGACTCCCTGACTTCCACCAGACCTAGGGAAGATGGAAAAGGGATCCATCGCAACTCCCTTTGTTCTTTTCGATTTCGTGGCCACGGTGGTGATGTGAACTGCTCGGATTTCTGGCAGCGGATCCAAAGAAGCATCTCTTCTGGGCCTTGGGTGGCCCCCTCCCAACCTGGTTTAGGTGCGCTGAAATCGAGGACTGGAGGCTGCATTCTGGCAATGGCATCAATTACCTCGACCTGCTCTTGTTCGAGCTTCCGCACTAGGGTATTTGCTTTCTCTGTCAGGAGGAGATTGAATTGCTCGTTGAATTTGGATTCTTCTTCCGAGCAAGGGTTCGATCTTAACGGTCCCGAAAGGTTGATTGAGTTGAATTCTGCAGTGTTGCGTAGGATTGCCCTGAATGAGTCCTCTTCCTTGCTTCTTGATGTAGAATCGTCGGACATGGGCAGGATTGGGACCTCCATGGCTGGTACTGTGCTATTTCGTTGAGGAGTGGGAATGTCGAAGCTTGGGGTGTCTGAAGGTATGTTGAGAATGTCCAGCGTTGATGCATCGAGGAACTCGAGATCATTATAGGTCTCGGCTAGGTTGTGTCGGGATCTCTCAAGATCCTCCTCAAGAAGGCTCTCTGGGTCTGAAAACTGAGGGATCTCGCAGACATCAGCATCCGGTATAAACAGCCCTGCATCTTCTGTATCGTCAAAGGGTATCGTGATGAGTGGCGGAGTCATGGTTTCGACTCTGTTCTGGAGAAAGTATTAGCGAGATCCTTCACACGATCGCAAACAATCATCCCTACCATGGCTGGGATCATCTCCAGTTCAATCAACTCGTCAAAGTCCCTCTTGGACCAACCTACGTATGTTGACTCTGCAACGTATGCCAAATCTTCCTCGGTGTAATCAAGCTCATCGAGGTCGGCTTCCCCTGCAAGCTGATCGTGGAAGTGTACCGCAAAGAGTGGAAGACCGAGACCTTCATCCATCGCATCATCGACAGGCTCGCGAGGTAATGTGTTAGGCTTGCGGAAGAAGTCCAGACACTCGGCCTCGGCTACTGCTCGACCGAGAGCTTTGAGGTCGTGCCTCGGGTCACTTCTCAGGGATGGCAGCTCCAGCTTCGAGACTGCGTGCGAGATTCGTATGTAGGGTATGGTGGCCTCCATCGATAGCTTGAAGATGGCCTCGGGAGAAAATACTTGGATGGACTTTGCGAGGACATCGTCTGCTCCCTCGTCGTGGAGATCGGTCTCGGGAGGAAAGATAGGCTCTGGAACGGCAAAGGACGGAAAATCAGGCGTGTCTTCAAGATGAGTAGTACATTCAACAAATGCTGAATCTTGCAAGCGCTGAGCGATATGCTTCGGGTGCGTAGGGATGTAGACCCTGGGATTGATGAACAACTCTTGTATCAACGCATACTCGGCTGGCCCAACTCCTTCGAAGGACATGTTGCATTATGATGTCTATGTCTTTGGCAAGAAGTTCGAACTCGATCTCTTGGGGCGGTGATCCTAGATGAGAAAATGCGGAAATCAAAGAGGAAGATGAAGCCCGGCGTCAACGCTACATCGGTGGTATTACCCTGACCATGTGGGCTTTTGGTGAGTTGACAATCAAGATACTTGCTGAAAGACTTGAAGATATTTTTGTGCGAATTTCACGAGCATCAGTCGCAACGAAGGACTTCCACTTTCGTCCTGCCTGCCTGAGGAGAGAAGTCGGACTGCGGGTATTGTTTCAAAGTTCCTCCGAGCTTCCGGAGGCCCCACTTTCACCGCCGTGCCTGCCCGTCGAAGTTGAAGCTCCGATATACGTACACTGCCAGGCAGCCAACGGGGCAAATGGAAGGGATTTCCGGGGGAGGAAACGACATACCCGTATTGCCGGCCAAACGAGTACGGCATGGGGCCATGTCACGTCCGATAGTCTAAGATCACAGCAGTGAGTTAGCTGTGCCGCCTGGAAAACAGAATATTAGCGACCTTAACAACTCAAGGCAGAAGCAGTAGTCTGGGTACGAGCACGACAAATCCGGTAGCATCCGGTGATGCAGCCTGTGAGACAATCATTTTGGCGTCCGAGCGATGCCTGGTCATTGAACTGCGGGCCACAACCACTTCCATTGCTCGAATGGACGAATGTTTGTTAAGTTCCGATGCCCTTCGGAGCTAATCACGGATCGGGGCCGGCGGAGTTGCACATTGGACCCGTTTATCCCTCTCCTAGCGCTCGGTGCGGCGGCCGCTAATAATCACGTAAGCGGTGTGCTTGTTTTAGGGTGAGGACTGCCCCGAAGCCACTCGGTTCGGGGAATGGGGATTGGGTTCAGCGATCGGACGATGGACGGGCATGGGGCCTAGCGTAAGGGGCATATGGAGACCAAGGTAACCCTACAGCGATTCGACTTCCACGTTCGAAGATGTGCAAGGGCGGCTGAGTAAGGTCTTGATGGGGGAAGCCGGAGGGAGGTGGATGCACACTGCATCAGTGCGGAGACGACAGGTTTTTGTTTCTTGTGTGGAAGTATAAAACGATTACCTCTTGCGGCTGATGCATCGCCATTCTGTTTGTCTTGATATCTGGCTCCCCATCGTGATTTAACTCACTTTACACATCACTAAACTTTATTCACCAATTGCGTACCAAGAACGTAGTCTTCAAACAGGCAAGATGGCGACGACCCTAGGATCCAAAAAGTCAATCCGCATCGGCGTAATGTTGGAAGCCGTGCAGCTGAGTGACATCATGGGCATCGATCTTTTCGGCAACCTGTCTCGTGAATACTACGACAAAGTCAAGGACTTCGATCCCGAATTCGCACAATGGACCGACCACCCCGTCGATACCAAGTTCTACTTCATCTCATCAACCCTAGAGCCCGCCGAGATGACACCCGGTCTCAAGTTCGTCCCGAACATCACCTACGACGACTGTCCTCGAGATTTGGACCTTGTCCTCATCGGTGGCCCACTCCCCAGCCATCGCCCTCCCGCTGCCGACCGCTTCATGAAGGAAGCCTACCCGAAGACCAAGGTCTGGCTGACAACGTGCATCGGTAGCCCTTGGCTGGCCAGCGCCGGGGTGCTGAAGGGGAAAAAATGCACGACGAACCGCGAATTCTTGCCATTTGTGAGGCAGGTCCACCCCGAGACTGAGTGGCTTGACCAGAGATGGGTCGTCGAGGAGAAGGAGTATGAGGGCGAGGAGAAGGGCGAACTGTGGACTGGAGGTGGAGCCGGCGCTGGTAAGACTTCTTTCGCTTACACTCTGCTGATTGTTGATGCTTACATGACTCTAGGCCTTTCGATGATCATCACGTACTTGAACAAGAACTTTGATCCTGGATTTGTACAAAAGATGGCACTCGAAGCGATTGCATTTGAAGAGTTGGCGCTGAACCAGTTTTACAATACTTCAAGGTAGACGGAATGAGCAGTCAGATGATATGATCCAATAGCTGCAGGAGCCTACGAAATTCCCAATATCGCATAGAGCTGTTCTACTTGCCTTGCTCATTTGTACCTAAGAAGCTGTCTATCATGCATCTACGTAACGAATGATGAACTCTGGGGAATCATACCGATCCCAGCTCTCCGGCAAACTTCTATCCGCCATGATCTTCAGAGCAAAGATGCTGAGTTGATATCTGCCGGCTGGCGCCCAAGAGCCATCCGCTAAGCTTCCATCCCAAGGGCTCATCCAGCCAATGGGTCTTACATAGGTCATGGGGTATCCAGCTACGTTTCCAAGGGTCACCACACCGAGGCCGTTGTCTCTGGCATCAGGATTGGGCTCAGACGCCGGCGACGCGATTGGGACGGCCTCGAGGCGAACCTCGGAGCTTCCCATCACTAGCCATAAGAATTGGTTAGGGAGCGCTCCAAGAGGTAGAATTAGGTCCGAAGTGTTGGCCAAGGGTAAGGCCCAGTCGGGATGCGAAGCTGGAGCGGGAAGCTGGAAGGTGGTATTCGCGGGCACATCTGGGCTCCTTGGGTCGTCGCTGCGACTGAAGATGAGGCGATTTGCAGCCAGAACTGTTATGTTCTTCATAGATGTAGCAGCACCGATGTAAGGGACCGATAGAGCGATCTCGCCGTCACCGTTAGTCCCGTTGAGAGCGACCCATCCGGAGTACAGTGGGAGCGTTGCGGCATCCAAACCCTTGGGAGGAACCACGCTGATGCGAACTTCCCCGGTAGCGTTGGGTTCCAAGCTAAAGCTGGACGGCTCAAATAGTAGAGTGGCATACGTCGTGAAAAGCTCGGGAGAGCTTTGGCGATAAATGTCTGTCAGAGTGGTGGCGGTCAAGGCAGGAATGTTCGATACATTGTACGTTGCCATTGTGTCTCCAACATTAGTTACAGTGAACGTAGTTTCAGAGATGAAGTTGTCGGTATCGTTGAACGAGAGACTGGCTTTGCTGAGAACTGATGTCGCGTACGCTGCGTCGTAGGCCTGTACCATGCCAGCTCCCTGTTGTGGCACAGGGCCGAGGCCGGCTTCGATGTTGTCGACTCCGTAATTCTGTGAGAGGTTTGGCTTTGCGGTTGAAGCAAGCAGTCTTTTGATCAAATCAGGATCTCTGGTACCCCGTGCCTGCTCGGTGTCAGTCTAGGTGTCCTGGATAGGAAGAAGTCGTACTCGGCGCAAGAACTTACCTGAGATACAAGAGCTACGATACTGGCAACCAGAGGAGTCGCCATAGAAGTGCCAGATGCCTCAGCATACTCACCAAGAGCAACAGGCCACGTGCTCAAGATACCGGCACCGGGAGCCCCAAAACTCGGGGCAAGCTTGAGCTCAAAGGTCGGGCCCCAGCTCGTGAAAGCAGACACCTTTCCTTCACTATCCGCTCCTTGACTCTGGTAGGATGAGATGGACATCACCCCGTCGCCGGTGCTTGGCGTGCTGATTCCGAAAAGGCCTTCCGTGCCACCGACCTCGTTACCGGCGGCAAAAGTGCAAGGGACGCCGGCATCCACGATCCTCGAGACAGTAACGGCAAACGCCTCTCCAGCCCAACCATTGGGACCGCCGATGGATCCAGTAATGATATCACTACCATCCTCAAAGGCCTTGATCACACCCGCAAGCAAAACGTCGCCAGTGGTCTGGCCGTTACAGGCAAAGGTGCGGTACATGCCCAGCTTCACCCCAGGCGCCGCGCCGGTGAAGCCCATGGGGTTCTCCATTGCAGCAATGATACCGGCGACGTGGGTGCCGTGGCCGAGACAGTTCTCAAAGGGATCCGCATCGGGGACGGGCGAGTTCGTGCCGTCATAGGCGTCACCCACGATGTCGGATCCGAACTCGACGAGACATCCTGGACCAAAGCAGCCGCCTAGGGCGGGGTGGGTGTAGTCGATGCCCGTGTCGACGATGCCAATCTTGAGACCTGTTCCGATGAAGCCCTTTGCACGGAGCTTGTCGACTTGCGTCATGACGTGGGGAGGCCAATTATCTGTGGAGTTTGTTTGACGTTTGTACCTGGATGGGGTCTTGTCTTTGCCGGTCCAGGTGATGTCTAGCTTTGGGATGCTGATCAAAGGGACGGGCCAGAGTTTCTTGACTTGCGGGAGGCCGGCGATCTTCGAGGCTGTCTCATTGTTGGTGCCTTCGACATGAATCGAGACGCCCTTGAAGATCTTAGACTGGAGATTGAGACGCTGTGAGATCTTGCTCGCGCCGGTTTCTGTCTCGAGCTGACTGAGGACTTCAGAGCCATCCTGCAGTGTGTTAGAGCATCGTCAATTAGCACAGGTGAAGCTGGGGGACTGACTTGATCGTCGGTGAACTCGACGATAAATGCGCCAGGAACAATCGTCTTCTCAAAAACTGGCGTCACATCTCTCTTCACTGCCGAAGCAGAGGATAAGACCGCGATGCCGGCTAGTGCCGCAAGCGATGCTCTCAAGGCGACCATGATGAGCTGGTTTCTTTGGCACAAAGAACCTCAAAATTCTATCTCTCAGAGCTCCGAGGAAGCCGAGGGACATTGTACTTACATGGTATGCTTATTTATACGTCTAAATGTCTAATGATATGATGGGCGCGCTTCGGAATCCCATGCCCGTGGTCATCAACGTCGCATTTGACACTATCGCCATTGGGTGATGAGGGGGCACGTTCTCCACAGAAAATCGCCCAAAACTGACAACCGGATAGATGAAGCGACTCGAGAGTGCGGGGCAACACGAGCTCACTGAGAGCAATTGAGCAAGATAAGAGCGCGATGGGGAGAGGGCGATATTGCTGTCTTCTCACGGTTGCGGTGGAGGGATCCCCTCGTCACGAGCTCGGAACCTGTCGATTCTGGCGAGGAAGTTTGTCTGTGCCGCAGCATTCAGCGGCCTCGTTGCAGTGGTTCAGATGGCATCAGCAAGGAAAACCGGAAGTCCATCAACGGGGAACGAGGGGCTTAAGGAAGGTGGTATTCTGCATAACCCCCTTGTTACCGTCGCCGGCGCGAATGCAACGCGATCTTGGCGCATACTGCCTACAGTGTTGCTTCAGTTGGCGTGACCGGGATGGTGGCCGATGCTGAGAGTGCGCAAGAAGAAGATTTCAAGGCGATCAAAGTGTGGCGAGATATCGGGAGGATTACCAAGGCTCGCATTCGGCCGAGGGGTTGACTACTAGAGTCCGTCGAAACTCAGCACACGAAGCACACGTGAAAGAGCCGATATGCAGCGTTATCGACGCCAAATATTAAGCTTACATTCACTCGGATAGTCGGCCTTCCAAAGTGAGAGCAATGCTAGAGGTCCTTCATGCCGATGTCCCGTTCACCACCGACCACGCTCCCTCCAAGTACAACTTGTCCAGCGCCGCCGCCGCCGTGGTATTGTCCACCTTGAGGTTCAACCAGTGCTGATTAGTGACATTCCGATCATAGACCCACTCATTCGACCCATCGGCGTAGACAAAGTTGCGCCCGTACTTGTTACCGTGTTCAAAGATGTCCCCGAGACCTTGCATAGCATACAACACCGTCAGTGGATCCCACGACTGCCGGGGCCGATAAAAGTTGTAGTAAATGTAAGCTTGCCGGACCGGATCCGATACGGGGCCCTCGGCGAGCAGCTTCGCTCCGGACAGCACGATCGAGCCGACCTCAGTGCCGCAGAAAACCATACGACCCTTCCAGTTGTTCACGACGTGCGCCGTGTGCAAAGGGTTATCGCCAAAGAAGTTGAATTCCCGTCCGGACGGGTACTCGCCGCCCATGACAACCAGCTCCGAGACCTTGCTCGCAATCAGCGCGGGGCCCGTGAGATTAGAGATAGCGTCGGCGGTGGAGTTCAAGAGCGCAGAGAGATTCTCGAAGAAGCCGATGGAGACAATGGTCACGGGCTCATCGGCCTCGGCGAGGATCTTGCGGTAGAGCGTCACCGCGTCGGAGGCGTTTTCGGCCTGGCCAAAGGGGAGCGAGCCGCCCGAGTAGTGGTACGAGATCTTGCTTGCGTACTCGCCTAGGTCGTAGGCGAAAGTGTCGAAGAATGGCTCGTCTGTCATTGGCCTTCGCGCGCCGATGGGGACATCTGCGAGGCCATAGTGGGCGAGGATTGCCGAAGTTGCCGTGACGGAGTAGGTTGAAGGGTAGTTAACATTGACACCAAGGAGGTTCACGTTTGGTGAGGTTGCCGCGAGGAGGAGGGCGCCGGTATCACTGTTGTGATATTAGAGCTTGGGTGTTTAGTGATGGTTGGGGGACATGGGTGGCACTGACTCGCAGTCACTGAAGATGTCAGTATCGATGATGATGTTCTTGCGCGCTGCCAACGCCGGCTGGATGGCCAGCGCAGCGGCAGCGACTCTTATGATGAACGCTGAAACCATGGCTGATGATGCTTGCCACTCAAAGAATATCTTGAGCCAAATTCTTGAGTGAACAGCGGGTTGGAAAACATCGGATGAACCGGTGTTTGTAGCCTTTTTAGGGGAGAATCCTTATCTTGACTCGGTAGTATGAGGGGAAAATGAACTCCTCTTGCCAGGGGTTGACTCCGATTTTAGGAGATGAGTGGAGCTTTTAATTCAATTTGAAGGGGATTTTCCACGGGAAAAATCCTCATTGTCAAGGTTCAACGTTGAAGAGCCAGCTTCTGTGGAGGGACGTGAGCTGATAAGAAATCTCTCGAGATTGGTGCTTTGTCCAAGCTCTTTAAAACTCGAATTCGGAGCAGATCGGCAATTGACATGCAGCGAGTGGTGACAAGACATGGTGTTGCATCAACGAGACTAAGTATTTCTACTTCAAATGTATCATATGTACATCTATTTTGTGGTATAGCTCATGCGGCCTATATACAAAGAATAAGCGTCGACTTGAATCAAGAAACTGCTTAACGCCACTCATGTTCTAAGGTATGCTTTGCTCAACATCGCGGGCGAACCCTCACCGGTACCTCTCTATCAAATGCATGCGATCCAAATGGCATAGCTCGATGATGTGACCGAGCCTTGGTCGCATCCGCCGGGTCCAGAATCTCCACATCAAAGTCCCTTAGAATGAGAAAGACGGAGACGAGAATGGTGTTCTTCGCCAAAGTCTCGCCCGGACACCTCCAGGCGCCTCCTCCAAAGGGAAAGAAGTGCCCTCGCAACGCTGACGGATTGGACAGTTTGGCTTTGATATCATCGCGCACGCACTTCTCTGATACATTGTAGTTGTGTCTCGCCGAGTCAGATCTCCGAAGCGGGCCGCTTGTCGGGTCATCGGGATACTCGAGGAATCGCTCTGCCCAGAAGGACTCGAGAGAATGCTCCGAGACCCCGTTGATGGTCCGGCCTGTGTTCCAGACGGCTCCGTCGAGGCCACCGAGCCAGTTTGCTGATAAAGCGGTGGTTCCCGATGGCAAAGTGGAGAAGGAATCTCCGTGGAGACGGAGACCAGCCCCGACCGATTTGCGGCCGATAGCGCCGGCAACGTGAAGTCGTAATGTCTCTCGGTAGACTGAGTTTAGGAGCGGAGCCGACGATAGTGCGGTGCAGTCTAGTGATGTTTCCTCGCTGTTGTCTCTAATGCCTGACTCGTGTCTTAATCTGGACGTAAGAGTGAGGTCCAGGAGAGCGTGCAGCACCATCCAGCAGGCGGCTGGAATGGTGTTGGCAGTTGTGCTATCAAGGGAAATCAGGATAAGTCCACTTCCGGCTTGAAAGACTGGGAGTAAGTAGACTTACACAAATAAGAAGCCAAGGATGACGCTCGATGTCCCGGCATCCGAGAACCCTAGATCCTCATAGCGCCGGACCATGTTCCTCACGTAACGGGTCCCCCAGATAGGATCAAATTCAGCGTCACCCGGTTCCGCATCATCATTGATGCTGTGAGAGATGCACCAGCTCCTCCACTTGCTCAGACTCCTGATTATGCGGTCGCGCGTACGGTATTGGGAGGGATACATCCATCGTGGGCTACCACGTGAGACAACAGGAAATGCATCGTAAAAGGCCCAAAAGTCTTCACAAAATGATGGGCAAACCCTGAAGATGTGCTCCCCGTACAGTGCCTCGACTTCCGCACGGAAAATGACGTCGCGGACGAACTTGTACAAATCAGGAAGGACGACGGGATCTTGGTCCGGAACAAACGCGTTCTGTGGCCAGAGTCTTTGACTGAGGTTGGAAGAGAATCTGTCCATCACAAGCCTCAAATTCTCCCCATTCAGAAAAGTGATGAAGTCTTTTCGTTGATGTTCCATGATTCTTCGGGATGCGTCCGGATGAGATGTGGAGCATCCTGCGCCGTCACGACTCTCGAATGCCGAGATATGGTCATGTTCGAACACATGATAGTCCACTGCTTCTAGACCGAAGAATATTGTCAACGCATCGAAGATGCTAGGTACTGGGACGAGTTCTCGAGGCCCCTTAAAGAGTGACCGCACACCTTCGCCAGGAAGGACGTAGCAAAGCGAACTTGCAGGTGCTGAAAGGGATATGACGATGCCATTCAGGCGAGACCTGGGACTAGTATTAGCAAACATGATGTTGAGGTGGACCTTCATCGTGTTTACGTACTGTAGAGGACGAAGAAATTTCTCGGCGTTGAAGAGAATCGCATGGGTATGGCCAAGTCCTGGAATAAAGTATGGAGGTACGGCAGGCCGCCTGTTTGGCTTCTCGTACCGTTGATTCTGCCAGAGAAAGCGGATGGAGGTGAAAAGATAAGTGAGAAGGAAGGGACTGCTCAAGATGAAGACAAACCATGCGGACTTTGTGACAGCATCTCGTACCTTACCGCTCAGACAAGCTTCTCCAAGCACTGAGGTAAACATGATCAGAGCCCCGATGAGTATCAAACCAGAATGTTTACATCATTCAAAAAGAGGAAAGAGAACATCCATGATGCAGGGGATCTTTGTTCTTTCTTATAACATTCAATGCCCCAAGGAGCCTAGGACCCATTCTCACATGAGACTTTTGCTAGGTCAAATAACAGCTCGTAATCGCGCGAGCAGTGATCTATTTCCATGATTGCGGAAGGTATCAAGGTGCCATTGGGGGCCGCTATCACCCGGTGCCTTGATTTCGCCCCCTCGTCACGCAGCCCGTGTTGGTTGTGAACATGAAGACTTGGCTGGAAGGATATTGGCAGAATACCCTTGCCGCGGGTGATACCTTCTTTTGGAAACTCTTGAGCAAACAATGTTCATCTTCATGGCGCGACCGCCGTAGAAAGATATATATCACTCATCATGGCGCTTCTTCGACTCTAAGGTGGCTTGCGGCCCGGATTGCATGCATCTCGAGACTCAGTGGATCCGTGCACTTTGTTTGGTCAAGGGAATAATGATATAAATCCAAGTTGGAGATCCGCCAACTTGACTGATCTTCCAGGAAATCGTGGATCGCGATTGGGCGACCGTTTTGTTTGCTTTGTGAGGTGGTCTTGGGAAGGCAACGTCAAGCGCTAAGCCGCCGCACCTCCGCGTCTACCGCCGGCATTTAATGGAGATGGACGTTGACTTGACTTGCATGTGTAGTCGAAAACGAGCATAAACAACCAGCAATAAAGACGTGGCAAGCCTTTGACTACGACACCAACCCCAACGCTGAGCCTCCGAGTTCTTGGGGGTCGGGATTCTGCACCCAGCTCCGGAGATGGCCCCCAGGAATGGCAAGGCAATATGTGGGACTCCGTTGTGATGCCGCAATGGGATTGGGCTGTACTTTTGTTTGCTCGATGTCGTTGGAAGAGGCAACATGGTCGTACAAAATTCGAAAGATTTGATTGGGCCAGCGGGTTGGCTTTGCCGCAGGTGAGGAAGAATCCATGCTCTCACGGGATGGATGCACTGTGACAGGATCATGCAGACAGTCACTTGGCTGACCTCAGCGCGCCACGGTCCACGGGTGACAATGGGTAGCAGGCGCCACTCCCGCGGCATCCTCAATATTTGACGGATGTCTTCGAGCAGATAGGAGGGTCACACAACGTCTCTTCTAGACGGGTGGCTTCATGTAATGGTTCGGGACTTTGCAGGCATGCTGCCATGTTGCCAGTCTTCCTGTTTGCCTTTGGGTATGCGATGTCCATCTGCAAACTCGTCAATCTGGTAGAAAAGACGGTAGGACAATACCAGGTTGTTGGATCTGTAACGCAGGTCACTTGCACAACATGTTGCGGTCACGACCGGTGTGGGGGCATTGTTGAAGATGATGCCCATTCACAAAGCACGGGAGGGAGTAGCCCAAAAGCCTAGCAGTCTGATGGTGACAGATTGGAGATAGTTCCCTCTTCGCACAGTATAGTATTCTGCCACAACTGCTCTCGGCGGACCCGCTCATCCACAATAGTCTCGGCCTTGCTAGGAGATAGAACAATAGAAACAATCTGAAAAAGGCCCCGGCCCTCCAGAAAGGCGATATTGTTCTGCAGGAATTCAAGGCCTATCGAGTTGATGATACTTAGGTACCTCGGGTAGACTTTGAGTAGGGATATCACCGCCCTTTGAACACCAAGCAGGACCATCCGTGTCCTTGCCAGTGCCAGATCGGACTACGGCGTGTAGTTGAAGCTGTGGACAAGAATCTATCAATCTCCTACCTGGAAGTATCCTTCGAAGACTGCAGATCCAATCCGTGATAACACGGACAGCAAGTACACTGGCTTCAAGGATCATGGCCCGAGCGAGGGCTTTTAGATCGTTTGCTTGCGCAAGATTCCCGGAAAGTAATCTAGACCGGATTAATGGACACACTGTTTGCACAGTTTGCTTGACCCCGACATCCATGCCCTGCAGGATCTCTATGCCGTACTAGATTCGTTCCGTACCGTAAGGGCCGCGAGCTCGGGGCAACGCGGGTTTCCGTTTCCTCGGGCCATGGTTGATATGGATAGAAATTCCCCCACAATGGCCGGGCGGTCCGTGAACACCGACACTGACAGGATAGTGTAATTAGCACGGAGATCTTGAAGTTGGGGTAATTGTTAAGCATTCCCCGCGTTGTGTCTACCAATACGTAATACAACACAAAAGATTAACAGTTCACACAAGTGCCGCTGGTAAACACCCTCAGTGCGTGGATAGGATGCCGAGGTCCTGATGTCAGTATACTGTCAACCCCGCCGGCTGTTGGGCATTCTGAGATAGCAAATCTAACAACACACAACCAAACCGTCGACCGCCTCCAAGTAGGTAGTCAATCAGACCCATACTCCAGGTATTTAACCCGCAGCCTGCACAAGTATGTCTTCTCAATCTCGAGAAGCCCCGTGGAAGGCCATTGCGAAACGTAAACAGGCTGAAAGAGCAGCGCGCATCCCATCAAAATGGCACATCCCGACCAAGGCCATCCCAAATGACTCCCCTCAAGCAGGTGACGGGCCACAGAAAGTCCTTGACGTACCGCGCCAATTCCTGTCTCAATCAGAAATTTCAATTACCGAAACCTACACGATTCCAAGCCTGCTCAAGGCCATAGGGACGCGCAAACTCTCAGCTAGACAAGTCACCGAGGCCTTCTGCCACCGGAGTGCCATAGCGCAGCAACTCACAAACTGTTTGACGGAGCCATTATTCGACACCGCCCTGAACCGGGCTCAATTTCTCGATGACTACCTCCACGACCACGGTGCCCCCCTCGGCCCCCTCCACGGCCTTCCCGTCTCCGTCAAAGACACATTCAACGTTGCAGGCGTCGACACCTCAATGGGGCTGGCATACTTATGCCACAAGCCCGCAGCTTCCAATGCGCCGCTGGTTGATCTCCTGCTCTCTTTGGGGTGCGTCATCATCGCCAAGACCAACGTCCCGCAAACTCTCGGAAGTCTGGACTCCGTCAACAACGTTTTTGGCCGGACCATGAATCCTATCAACCGACTTTGCACCGCCGGCGGATCTTCTGGTGGCGAGGGCGTCCTCGTGGCTATGAAAGGTTCCATGATTGGCATCGGAACCGATATTGGAGGCAGCATCCGCGTGCCTGCCATGTGTAACGGGGTCTATGGCTTCAAGCCGTCCAATGGACGGGTTCCATACGGCGGGCAGGTTCTTACTGGCATTGATGGTATGAGCCGCACCTCCGTGCAAGCTGTTGCGGGCCCTATTGGCCGTAGTGTTGAGGACATAGATGCTCTCCTGCGTGAGATCGTCCCTCGGGCGGCTCTGTGGGGTGAGGATTGCATGCCCGCATCATGGCTCTCTAGCTTGAGAGGATCGTCGATTTCAGGCTGCGGGAGGAACGGGGAGTTGGTTATCGGCGTTCTTCGCACGGATGGAAATTGCAGCATTCATCCGCCTCTTGATCATATGCTGGACGAGGTCTCTTCAGCCCTTTCACACAGACCCGGTGTAAAGGTGGTTGAGCTGGCATGCCCTGCGGCGTTCACCAAGGCGCAGTCAGTCATGAACAAGCTCATGGGCGTCGACGGCTCCGTCACCATGGCCGAGATGATTGAGGCAACAGGCGAGCCTCTGGTACCCTGGACAGCGGCACGATTCAAAAAGGGGAAGCCGCTGCCACTCAGACAAGTTGCTGAGCTTCAAGCACGACGAACAACATTGGAGCGGGAGATGCTCAAGATGTGGGTCGAGAATGACGAGTACGGTCGAAGGCGAGAGAAGCTGGATGCTGTGATATGTCCCGTTGCGCCGCACCCTGTGCCGCCTATTGAAGGGTACAATGCTGTCGGTTTGACTAGCAGCTGGGTAATGCTTGACTATCCTGCAGGAACAGTACCAGTCCGAGACGTGAGGGAGAGTGATCTGCAGCTTGGTCGGCCACAAGGGGAAAAGGTCTTGAGTAGCTGGGACGAGAGGAACAGAGAGCTTTGGGACGAGAAGAAGATTGACCGAAAGATCTACCTGGGAACGCCGCTGAGTGTTCAGGTCGTTGTACCAAGGTTGCGGGATGATCGACTGGTTCAGGTTATGGCTTGTGTGGATGCGGCTTGCAAGGGCACTGGCGTGAACGCAAAGCTCTGAGTCGAATTACTTCCGTAGCCAAGAGATCAATCAGCCTCGGCCCGAGCTGCAATTTGGTCTAATGCGTGTTACATGAAAATTCAGGGTAGTCTACCATCAAATGGTATGTAAGGTTCTACAAAGGAAGCCATAGCGCTGGCCTCAGTGACTAGATCGAACTCATTCATCACGGCGTCCCAGTCCTGGGGAGCCATGATGTGATCGTACGGAGGTGGTGCGAAATTGACCTCTGGTAAAGAAGGAATATCCTCAAGTTCCCGTTCTCCATACGCCTGCTCTGCATGCTGCGGTCCCTTGCTTGTCAAGGATCTTCGCTTGACGGAAAAGCTGGCGAGCTCATAAAAGGCCTTACACACATCGTACAGCTTCTTGGCTGAAGGCGAGCTGCTTGATGTGGGTTCAATGGCAGAGATAGTGCTGCAGAGGAGCGTTAGGTCCTCTTCGGAGGCCGTTGTCACAGTATATCCCGCAAGGACTACAAAGCAGGCAAAAGGCACCAGAGATAACATCCTATGGAGATATTAGGAAACGTGCGTCAAGAATCACAGCAGCGTCACAGGAGACATACATGTTGAGCAGCATTGACCATCCGGTGATTCTGAGGTGGCCCCACGATTCGAAGGCTCCCACAATTGTACGAAGGGCATCTCGAGCAGCCTCTGTGCATTCGTTGCTGCATTTCAGTGGGCTATAGCTTGCTTCATCGCATGGGATGACACGATAAGCTATTGCGACAAGACCGTACATCATGAAGTCGAGCAGTGTGGCAAGCGCCTTGTGGAGATCATCGTCTGAGGGGCTATATTCGGCAGACTGCAAGATTTAGGAAACTCCCTTGGAACGGTATAAGAGATTGAGCTTACCTGTTTGATGCGTGTGTTGACTTCAAGCAATTTGGCAACCACCAACTTGGCATTCTGGCTCCGTGTTTCCAGCGGCTGCCGAAGCGCTGAAGCAGAAAAGAGCTCAACGTGCATATCGCCAACAATAACTGCATACTCGAAGAACCCAGAATAGAGACTTTAGGTGCTGTCAGCATACCAGCCTGGGAAGAAAGGCGAAAAGGGATGATTTACTGTACTGGTACACCCGGAACGCAGTCCTTGGGTATGGACGGCCGCTCAGTGGATACGTCATAAGGATGGATCGACGGCGTCCTGCCCATTGTGAAAGCCATGGCTTTGTCGTGCACATAAACATGCCAAAATACTTGTCGCCTTTTGAAGAAATCCGGCTCACTGCTAGGTAGTCTATGCCAACCTAGGTCGATGCACATTCTCGACGCAGCCGATATGAGCTGCCATGCCAGGGTACTTTGACCTACTTTATTGCAAAACGTGTACTTTTTCGTAAGTGCCGGGAAATGAGCTTCGAGGGCAATTCCTCGAGACTTACCAGGACCGCCAGAGCTTGGCATGCTTGTAGCGAGGGCTCGCTGCAAAGTTTCAAATTTTGTATCGCTGTCTCAAGGTTGACCTTGAGGAGTTGGGAGCATGCCTCGAGTTCTAACTCGGTGATGTTGACGATAGCATAATGATGCGGTTTGAGTCCTTGGAGCAAGAAGAACAGACCGGCGTTGACAATGATCCAATCCACAGTGGAAAAGTCGGTGATGGCAAAGCAAACCTTTTGGCAGAACTCACCAAACTCTCGTTCGTCAATCACGGGGACATCAATAAAAAAACGCTGCTTCTCAGCCTGACACAGTCGAACCAGCTTCAGAACGCGGTCAGTTGACGGCAGGCTCCTGCTCCCCAACTCGGGAAGCTGGGCTTGCACGGACAATAGCGAGCTGCCAGTCTGAGTGGGACTACGCTCTTCACTGCCCGTAGCCTGGTCGATCATTTGCATGGTCGCAGAGAGCGCCGAATCGTCGCCCAAGGTCGACTCTAGGTCTGCAGCCACATCCTTGAGTGCATCGGTGACCCGGTGAACATGCGCTTTGAACGAGGAATCGCCTCTGTATCCCTCAGATAAACCGGGAAAGTTGGGAGAGTGGTTGCCGATGAAGGATGGAGGGGACACAAGTGGTGATGAGTGCGACTTTTGCTGGTTAATTTCGAGCAGCTGCTGCACCGCCTGGGAGACTTCCTTCAGCGAGCGGTCAACACTCTCTATGGCCTCATCATAGCGGGGCGAGATGAGGACGCGCTGTCGTCTCTCGGATGAGCGATGCGTCAGGCGGCACGTCAAGTTTGAGGCCACACAGCTTGAACATGGCGTTTCGCGGTCGCATTTGGTCTAGCGGTTCTCGTTAGAACAAATTGTACAGTGTTTTCATGATGTGATGACCTTGATGATTGAGATCTTACCTTTCTGCCTTTACAATTATCACACTGGTCGTGACGTGATTAGTATGTCTAGGGGTATTGGACATTGTCTTGAGTGACGCGAACTCACCGCAGGCCTCTTGCTGTTAACGCCGGAGGCCTCCATCCGAAGTAGATAATAATTTTTGTGTGAGGGTAGACTCTCCAAAGTAAATGGGGAAAATGAGCTGGAAGAAGAATGGAATGAAAGCAATGAGGCTAAACAAATGGGAAGATCCTACAAGTAGCTGTTCTGTCTTTTTTCTCTTTTTCTATTTTTTCCCCTTCGCTGTTCTCAATGGCTATGAGTGTTTAGCGGGGTGGCATACTTAGAAGGCGTCAGTTAGGCCGTCAGTGACTAATCCTAGATAAGAATTACCATTTCCGATCGTGCAATGACAGGCGAGAGGCGATGGCGGATTCCATCAGGGCCATCTTTGCTGGAATATCGTCATCCCATTTCATGAGTCACTCAGCTTTTTTGGAGTACTCCATTAGATTATAAACAATAGCCCTGCGAATGAGAAACCTATTGTTCAAGTTTCACGCCTTCAAAAGTCTAACCTCGTGTCAGGGTCGAGAAGCATACAGCAAGCTTGCCATTTTGCCAACCCCCGATGGACTTGGACGTAGCAGTAGGCAGTAAGATGACAAAGTGGCATACTTGCGAATCCTGTCGACCACGAATTTCATCACCTTCGGTTTTCATCCCGGGAATCCGATATGTAAGTACTAAGATACTTGCCTCTTTGTGCACTATGTTCACGGCGTCTTACACTGTCCTTGGCACGCTGACGACGCAAAGCGTCCCGACATCAGGTAGCTATCATTTTTGTCTTATTCGTACACTCTGTCAGCGCTAGGCCTAGTAGCCTTGAATCCCAACCATTGCCGGGCCCGAGGCCCCGAAAAAACCAAAGTTCTCATTTGAGTCACTGAACCTGAGGATGAGCCACACCATTGCACATGAGTACGTGTGGCTGTAGCTCTCACAGAAGCATGGCTTTCTTTCAGCGGCCGGTAGACACTGCTGACCTATTGTTTTCATGACGGCTACTGGTTCGGGCCACTGCTTCAACCACTCTCTACACTCACTCCGACTAGTAACTTGTTGTTACGGGGCTTTCCCATCCTCGCAGGGCCCGAGGGCCCGGGGATAATGGTGATCTAAGCTCAACATGCATTCAGCAAAGAAAGCGAGAATGCCCTGGGAATAGTTGTATTTTACAAGGCGCCCAATCTGCAAATAATGATCATAATCTCTGGAGCCTAACAGCAACTACTAAGTAATCTTAATTTACTCAAAACGTCTCAGAAAAATCTTTAATTGATCTGATACCATTTCCGCCATGATTTACAATCTCTGGAAACATTGTACCCTTATCGGGTCGTTGGCTATCCTGCAGGCTTCTGCCGCTAACATGAGCACGCCGGACACCTTTGTTGGGGGCACCCCGCCTGTAAGCACCCTTTGAGTCAGTGTTAAGTGCTTGACTAATATTGCAGTGTGACGCGCTCATCACCGCCGGCTTGAGTGGTAGGGTTTTGTCGCCCACCGACTCAGGGTACGAGAAACAGGTCCAAACCTGGTGGGCCCGAAACGCCCAGCTTCATCCGTGGTGCATTGTGCTACCCGAGAGTACGGAAGAAGTTTCCCTCACCTTGACCACGCTCCTAAAAGCTGGCAACGGCGCCGGAGACTGGCACATTGCAGTCCGAAGCGGGGGCCATGGCTTTCAGCTAAACAACAACATTCAGAATGGCGTCACCATCGATTTGAGCAGGCTGAATTCTTCCATTTATCACGCTGAAACTAATACTGCCATGCTCGGTTCGGGAGGGCGATGGGAGAATGTCTACGCCAGTCTGGGTGATCAAGGCGTTGTGGTGGTCGGTGGCCGCGATGGCGACGTTGGAGTGGGTGGATTCCTTCTTGGCGGCGGCACATCCTACTTTTCGCCAAAGTATGGATTCGCCTGTGACTCTGTCCTCAACTACGAGGTCGTGCTCACCAACGGAAGCGTCGTCAATGCGAACAAGACCGGCAACCCAGATTTATGGAAGGCGCTGAAGGGCGGCGGCTCCAACTTTGGCATCGTCACGAGATTCGACCTGGAAGCCCTTCCCGCTCGTGATATCCACTACGAAGTCCGGATACTGCCCGCAACCGCTTCAGATGAGGCTTACAATACACTGGTCAAGTTTGCGGATCATGACATGTCGCTTGCCGATAATGCACTGGTCACTTTCCTGCAGTACAATGGCACATCAGGCCCGGACATAACGATCACGGCCATCTATGTCAACACGGCTGGGCACGATGATGTAGAAACGGCCTATGACAATCTCAGAGATATTCCGTCTATCCGAAATATTTCTGTAAAGCAGTCTGTGGCCAAGACTGCCGCAGGTTCGAAGGTTCAAGGCGGACAACTGTAAGTCTAGCCGATATCTGTACCCTTTCTCCAGACTAATGTTTGTGTCCTAGGAGTGCTGCGGCAACTCTATTGTTCAGAAGTGATCCTGAGATTCTCCGATACTCCACCAAGCTCCACGAAGACTTCGTCAAGTCTCTTCAGAGTACCATCGGCCCAGCAAGCTTCGGAACGATGAACTTTTTACAGCCTGTCGGAATGGACCATGGCCAAATCGCCAAACAACGCGGCGGGAACATGCTCGGTCTTGAAAGATTGAAGTCCAATGCCATCATGTGGACTGGTGGTGTGTATGTGTTGACGAATGACGCAGACTTTGCTTTGGCGGAAGCATGTTTGGCTTCGATGTCGGACAAAATACGGAGATTTGCGAGGTCTGTCGGGGGTGAAATGGACCTGGTGTACCTCAACTATGCCAGTCCTCGACAGGATGCTCTCGCAGGATACGGCCCACAAAATGTTGAATTCATACGGGAAGTTGCTGCCAAGTACGACCCGAGTGGCGCGTTTCAGACAAGAGTTCCTGGGGGCTTCAAAATTGAAAGATCTGGATAGGATGATGAATCGAAAATGACCACATGCTAGGAACTGGCGTGTTTGTAGAGAGAATCCCTGTAGAGGCAGGTCTGTGGAACTGATCTTGAAAACCAAGGCACGACATCCAGGAAACTCCAACGAAGCCACAATGAGCTCTCAGAATTTGGTTAACAATTGATTCTATGGTGTACAGCCTACAGAACTGGGACTTCATATTTACGTGTAGACTATGGATAGAACTTTGAGACCACTAAATCGTTCCGGCCAGGGTGAAACGATACAAGCTATCGAAATGGTCTCCTTGGGAATGATGGGTTGCCGGTGTGATTGATTGGGAAGAATTTATGAAGCAATAGGCTGCTCAATGTCCTTCACACGTAAACGTGCTGGCACTATACCTGCGGAGTGTAGTCATTGACGATGCCAAAGATGAACTCTTCGTAATGACCGCGACCCTCGAAAGTCTCTTGTCCAACGATACCGCCTTTGACGAGACCGTTAGCGCGTTGGTACGCGCCTTTCTCATCCCTGACAATGAACTGGGTAGCAACATCCACCTCCATTACGTCACCATTTGTGAGGTTGTACTTGACAGATAGGCCTTCGGTCTCAAGCAGTCCAGTGGTAGGAGGCCAAGCTGCCTTCCCGCCCCTCTGGCGAACCTCCATGCTCGCCATGTCGCAGCTAACAAGAAGAACCTCTCCATCCTTTGCAACATAAGATCGCCTGCTCTCATTGCCGTCGTAGTCGAGAAGGTTGTACCAGACGATAGAGTAAGGACCAAAGCGAGCGTGTCCCCAATCCCAATAACGAGGACCATCGATGATGGACTGATTGCCCCAGTTCTTGTCGTGGTAGCCAATACCGTCTTCGAAGGCGATGACCGTGTCCTTGACAGCGAGGTCGACAATCGTCTCGGCATCGGGGACCGCGTTAGCCCAGTACAGTCCTGGCAAAAGATTCTGGCTGACACCAACTGCGCCATTCAAGTCGCAAGGGTAATGGGCGGGAGCATTCTGTAATCTTTAACATCAGTGTCTTGAAATTGCACAACGGTGAGGAATAGGATTGGGGAGTCACTCACGGCTTTAAAGGAGATCCTGCCATAGATACCCATGTCCTCGGAGTCGATGTTGATCGTGTATTCAACATCGGGCTTGTCCAGCGAGGTTCCACTAAAGCTTCCAATACCTTTCCAGTCTCCAGTAATACCTCGGGGGCCGTTGGTGAGATAAACCCCAGCATCGGCCATAGCTTCGAAGTAGAAGTCTGTACCATTGGGGTACACCCCCGAAACCTGAACAGCGAGAGGATGCGGGTACTGTGCAAATTCTCCCGAGTTGAAGAAAACGATATTCAGAGTCTGGTTAGAGGACTTTGAAACAACATCAAAGTACCAGAAGTCGGTAGACTTTTTGGCTGCCGGGGTGAGCATCTTGTAACCATCGAGGTTTCCAGCCACCGAGAGATGCTCAACGCTGATAGTACCGTTGTGGTAACGAGGAGGTAGGTCGAGGACCCGAGTGATATTGCTAGTTGCAGCTCCGTAAGTCGAGCTGAGCATAGCAGCTGCCAAAATTAGCTTGCAGAGAGCCATTATGACAGGTGTCTAGTTTGTTGCTTGAACGAGTGCGGGAAAGCAAAAGAACGAGTACAATGGAAGGAACGAACGAGCGACCGATAGCATGTGAGAATCAAATCAATTCAGAAAGGAGGAGCGAGCTCCAGTATTTAAGTGATTTGACGGACCTCATAGTCACGTACGCTTACGCGTAGATAGCGGGTAAACGATGCTTATCTCAAGATATACGAATGCGCGGCAAAGTAAAGCTCGACTTCGGACTGGGGCACTAAACTTGCCCCAGAAGCACCCTGTCGATTAGCGGAATGTAAGCCCTTTCAGGTTCACACTAGTTCCTGATTCTCAGAGGAGAGGATCATTTTCCCGACATCAGGGACTTCACCTACAAGTCCACTTCTCAACGACGTGCATATGTCCAATGGCTGTCCTTCAGCAAGCCGTTTGTAAGCCGTTTGTTCTTAACGGCGCTCAATATGAAACCATCAATGGAAAAATGAGGCGCGGCTTGTGGCTGATGATACTCGGACCGCGTATTCGGATTTTCGCGCGTACCACCTTCGTTCCAGTTAGGCTGGGCCGGGCTTGTTAGCCACAGTGATGGTCAAGTGTCCATTAATCATTACCCCACAACTATATCATACATAGAGTGAGATGAACTCAGGCCTAGCAATTGTAAGGACTACCATCCTACAGGATGCATCAATAAAGGTGGATGTGCCGCTTGGTGCCCTTGTACCCATTCCCCATACTCACGAAAAAGATCTAGCATATCTCATCAAGGGGCCATCACACGATCATGAATCTAGGCCAATAATTTGAGAAAAGGTTGGGCGATAACGATTC